TGCAATGGGCTCACGTCAAGATTTTTGACATAACGTATAAAACTTGATATTTGAAGAATTGTTTCAATTCAAATCAATAGTTCTGGATTGATTTAGTAAATATCTATCTCAAAATTCAGACATAAACATAGAAATTGAATTGTAATGAATTAAAACAAACGCACTATTTCTCGTGTTTAAAACTGTGTATACGCGAGCCAACGACAGAGGTGAATGTATGAGCCGATGGTAGAGAGTGATTTTCTTGATGGGCAACTAGTTTCAAGTATTTGGATGTCTATTCTCAAGTTACTGCAAACCTTAAATTAACTTCTTGATTATTAGTTAAATGTGAGACCGTTTCTTACTTGAAGTAATCATTTTTTGAATTGAGCTATGTAATCTCTGATTACTTATGTTTATGAGTAGTGTTCAGCTTTAAGACAAAAGGATCTTTTATGAACATTGCATTCGTCATGGTGAATTTCTATACATTAAGTAACAGTCATAGTTTTCGTCTTTTTTAATTAGCGATCTCATTTTAAATGTGAGAAATAATTATTAAACTGAAATGTACATTTATGTTGTTTGATTTTTATTTTTTTGAAAATTGTAAATCAATTGCATGTTGTTGTTTTTTTTTTCATTTTATTTTAGGGGATGGGAGTGGGGGTGCAGCTGTAAGTTTGAGTATATTTTCCAAAAGGATGTACATCGTTATTTTTGTTTAAATATCAATTTTAAAATGCAAAATGATGAGATATTAGACTACACATTTTTTCTTAAAACTTCATTTAAATTAATATATTTTGTTTAAAATAAGTAGCAACACCATGCAAGTTTTAGAGTTATTTGACAACTCACTATATACTTGTTTTTTTTTTACATTTATGAAGATTGTCTCAAATTTTGAGGGTTTTTTTCTGTGTTCTACATTTATTGACATGTTTCTTATCTGTGTTCATCTTGTCGAGTAACTGAAAAGTTTGATTAAATTTTTTTAAAAAAATCAGGATCATCTCTTTTATTTATTATTATTAATTTACAAAGAAATTATGTATGCTTTTGATGCATAATGTACACTTCAAATTCATGCACCAGCAGATTCAAAGGAAAAATTCTCATTAGAAATAAGCAGTTAAGATAAAGAGATTATCCAATTAAAAATAGTTTGAAAAATATTTAAAACAAATTTTCAAGTATGTTATCAAAATAGGAAAAAGTATTATGAATATAGTTTGGTATTTTTAATAGTAAAAAAAAAGGATATGACGTACTGGCAATTGCATCATCTCACTCAGGGTCTTTCCGTCAGAGTTCGGAAAAACAACCTCGAATGTATTAACATCACCTGATGTTAAAGGTTATGCTTTTCTTGTTTTTTTTTCAAATATAGGATAGAGGAAGTAAGAAGTCCCTTTTATAGTAAGTTTTATGTAATATCATAGCATTGAATAAAATTAAACTCCATATTCCACAGATAAAAGGTCTTCATGCATTTATTTCGAAGATCATGAAAAGGGGGGGGGGGGTTGTTGCCATGGCGTCTAACTAATACATTCGAGGTCATTTGTCAGCTAGTCAGAAAGGCTCGAGAAGTTGCGATTGAACATAGTGGGGGTTCTTGTTCTTTTATTACCAGTCCCTGGTAGAGTTTTTTGATATTAGAACATACTGGGGTTTTCAAACACTTAAATTCATATGGTTACTGGTATCTGTTACATGAGAATACAGCGGGGTTGTTTGTTTAACACTCTGAGGTTACTAAGATGTCTAATATTTTCTATCAGAACATATTGTGGTTCTTGTCTAACACTTTGTGGGGTTAATGTTATCTTTTATCTATATAAGAACATAATGGGGTTGTTACACATTATGGGGTTAGTGTTGTCTATTATCTTTATAAGAGTACTTAGTGGGGTTGTTGTCCTAACACTTTATGGGGTTAGTGTTGTCTATTATCTTTATGAGAGTACATAGTGGGGTTGCTGTCCAAACACTTTATGGGGTTAGTGTTGTCTTTTATCTTTATAACAGTACATAGTGGGATTGCTGACCAAACACTTTATGGGGTTAGTGTTGTCTATTATCTTTATGAAAGTACATAGTGGGGTTGCTGTCCAAACACTTTATGGGGTTAGTGTTGTCTATTATCTTTATAAAAATACATAGTGGGGTTGCTGTCCAAACACTTTATGGGGTTAGTGTTGTCTATTATCTTTATAAAAGTACATAGTGGGGTTGCTGTCCAAACACTTTATGGGGTTAGTGTTGTCTATTATCTTTATGATAGTACATAGTGGGGTTGCTGTCCAAACACTTTATGGGGTTAGTGTTGTCTATTATCTTTATAAAAATACATAGTGGGGTTGCTGTCCAAACACTTAATGGGGTTAGTGTTGTCTATTATCTTTATGAAAGTACATAGTGGGGTTGCTGTCCAAACACTTTATGGGGTTAGTGTTGTGTATTATCTTTATGAGAGTACATAGTGGGGTTGCTGTCCAAACACTTTATGGGGTTAGTGTTGTCTATTATCTTTATGAGAGTACATAGTGGGGTTGCTGTTCAAACACTTTATGGGGTTAGTGTTGTCTATTATCTTTATGAAAGTACATAGTGGGGTTGCTGTCCAAACACTTTATGGGGTTAGTGTTGTCTATTATCTTTATGAGAGTACATAGTGGGGTTGTTGTCCAAACACTTTATGGGGTTAGTGTTGTCTATTATCTTTATGAGTGTACATAGTGGGGTTGCTGTCCAAACACTTTATGGGGTTAGTGTTGTCTATTATCTTTATGCGAGTACATAGTGGGGTGGTTGTCCGAACTCTTTATGGGGTTAGTGTTGTCTATTATCTTTATGATAGTACATAGGGGGGTTGCTTTCCAAACACTTTATGGGGTTAGTGTTGTCTATTATCTTTATGAGAGTACATAGTGGGGTTGCTGTCCAAACACTTTATGGGGTTAGTGTTGTCTATTATCTTTATAAGAATACATAGTGGGGTTGTTGTCCAAACACTTAATGGGGTTAGTGTTGTCTATTATCTTTATAAGAGTACACACTGGGGTTGTTTGTCTTATAATTTATGGGGTTAGTGTTGTCTGTTATTTCTATATAGCATAGTGGGGTTGTTTGTTTAACACTCTCTGGAATATTCTTGTCTATCATCTTTATGTGAAAACATGATGGGTTAATTTACTTTGATGCAACAGTTATCCTCAAATAAAACACATTTTTTGCATTGTTACTGCTAGGCAGTAGTTGAAAAATGTTATTGCAATATCCGTTCTAAGTTCTTCAGATAAACAGTAACAATTTTAAGTACTTATAATTAGTTGCCCGTAAAGTTGACTTGATATTAAATAATTTATTTTTAACCCCACAAATATAGATCTTTAACCCCACAAATATAGATCTTTAACCCCACAAATATAGACCTTTAACCCCACAATATACCATTTGTTTGAATTCCTAATGATACCTCTCAAGTCACCACTGTACTATTAATAACCCCACAAAGCAAAATTATAACCCCGCACCTTCCGTAAAATGCACAATGTACCTCTCAACTGTATAGCTGTCTGTCTGTCTGTCCGTCTGTCTGTCTGTAAACAATTTTTCAAAATGCTACTCCTCCTACAGTTTTGGTCTGATTTCAATATAACTTGGCACACAAGTAGACTACACTAAGATACATAATTCTGTGCATCGGTTTTTGATTTCAATGCACGGTGTTGCCGTGGTTACTAAAAATAGAAATTTCTGTGAAATTCTTTTAAAATGTTACTCCTCTTACAGTTTTGGTCTGATTTCAATATAACTAAGCACACAAGTAGACTACACTAAGATACATAATTCTGTGTATCGGTTTTTGATTTCGATGAATGGTGTTGCCGTGGTTACTAAAAATAGAAATTTCTGTGAAATTCTTTCAAAATGCTACTCCTCCTACACTTTTGGTCTAATTTCAATATAACTAAGCACACAAGTAGACTACACTAAGATACATAATTCTGTGTATCTGTTTTTGATTTTGATGAACGTTGTTGCCGTGGTTACTAAAAATAGAAATTTCTGTGAAATTCTTTCAAAATGCTACTCCTCCTACAGTTTTGGTCTGATTTGAATATAATTTAGCACACAAGTAGACTACACTAAGATACATAATTTTATGTATCGGTTTTTGATTTCGATGAATGGTGTTGCCGTGGTTACTAAAAATAGAAATTTCTGTGAAATTCTTTCAAAATGTTACTGACCTCCTACAGTTTTGGTCAGTGATTTCAATATAACTTGGCACACAAGTAGACTACACTAAGATACATAATTCTGTGTATCGGTTTTTGATTTCGATGAATGGTGTTGCCGTGGTTACTAAAAATAGAAATTTCTGTTAAATACTCTCAAAATGCTACTATAAATAGCAGTTTTAGTCTGTTTGTAATATAATGTGGCATGCAAGTAGACTACAGTAAGAACATAAAAAGACTTAAGGATCATTATTCTATTTATATATATATTGCTGTTGAAAAGTTTCAATTTCTAAATGCTTATATATAAGTACTTTTCTCTTCCTTTGCTATAAGTGCAAACCAGTAGAGCTTCAGTCTCAACAGAGACTTCTGGTTGTATAACTTTTGGCACAGAAGTAAACTCCACTGATGCATAATTCTGAGGTATCCAATTCTCATTTCAATGAATGGTGTTGGCAAGGTTACAAAAAATAGAAATTTCTGTGGAATTTTCTTTTACAAATGCTACTTTTCCTTTGTTATAAGTACAAATTTTATAGTTTAAAGAATAAACATAATTTGTTTTCATGTTTAATAGTCTATAGGCCTATGGCATTTTTAATAAATCATAAAATGTACAATATTATAAACAAAAGTGTTCATGGGCATTTGTCAGGTTCTAACACTACCAGACTTTATCCGTTTTTTCCTTCCATGATTTGCCATGTAGTAACAACATATATATATTAGTTATTAATGAACAATTTAAATGTTTATTCACAGACTATGCAAGAAAATGAAAGTGTTCAGGGTAAAGTCGATGCAGCATCTTTTGAAGCGTAAGTTGTGTTCTCTTCCCAAGTCAAAGTGGAAGGCAGTTCTTTAGCAGTTTTTTAACCTTAACAGTTCAGTGCTTTAGCAGTTCTTAGACAGTTTACTAGCCTTCTTCTCTCCTTAGGCAGTTTTCCTTAGCAGTCCACAGTTTAAGCAGTACTTAGCCAGTTCATTAGCAGTAACTTAGCAGTTGCTTAGCAGTTTCCTTAGCAGTATCTTAGCAGTCAATAGGAAGGTTGAGGAGAACTGCTTAAAAACTGCTTAATAACTGCTAAGGTGTTTCTTTTGTTTGCTCTACTTATATAGAAATGACTCTGAGTGACCTACATATAAATTTAAAAAATTTATTAACTGCTTAAAAACTGGTAAAAAGAATGCACTATTCTTGTCTACTTATAAGAACATAACACCACCCATATACATGATATATGAATACAAAAATGCATATAATTTTTGCTTCCAGGGTAATTTATTGAAAAAATGACATCATATATGGGAATTTGACTTAGTATTGAGATTTAGATCTAAGGTATGAATTGTAAATGAGTCCTTTCATTAAGTCCATTTTCTTGCATAAACGTCAGTGGCATCTTTAGAGCTTGGTTAATTGATACAGTGGACTAATCTACGGATCCCTCTATCAGTAGCTTATAAATTTGCAAATATTTTAATTTATATTAAGTACTTATAATTAAAATATACAAACTAGATTATACGTTTTATAATTTAATAGTTATCCAAATGAGAAGAGGGTATGCCTATTATATCACAAGCCCACACACTTACCATATTTTCTGAAGCATACTTTACTGCCAACAAATCTTTTAAAAATTTTCCTATATCACCCAATTCCATTGATGCTGCATGCATTATGATCAGATTTTATAATAATGATTTCCCATCTCATGGAAATTAATTCAGATACACTTGTCACTTTATAAATATTAAGTTCACATCCAGTCCAATGTGGTGATCACAGATAATATTGTATTTTCCAAAGCATATTTTACTTCTTCACTGTATGGGTATAAATATACTAGTATATAATATCCCAGACCATCACAAACATCTTCACAATTTGTAATTTTGAACTGATGTGGAAAAGGCGCACAAATCTTGACTGGCTTTCCTCATTGGATACAACCCTATAGTTTCAAGCAACCAAGGGGGACACAGCAGGTTGTTAATGTAACTAGACGGCTGGATTTGCAAGTTGATGGGATAAAGATTAGAAGCTCATATGCTCATGCTTTTTATAGTATGAAGCCTCAATTTATTACAAACTATTGTATCATTTCTAGTAAGAAATTTTAGTATATTTTTTTTCTATTTAATTTTATTTTCTGTATAAGAACTCCTGCCTGGCCCCAATTATTTGTGACGTTATCATCAGGAAGCATTAACAGTAACACATGGGCAGTAATGAAGACTAGTGAAAGTTAGGACCACCAAGAGTGAAAAAGTGTTGTATTACTTCTTATAAGAAGTCGAAATGAATTAGTTGCACTTTTAGCAGTTTTGAGAAACTGCTTGTTTGACTGCTTAAGTTTCAATACTGAACTGCTTACACAAATTCTTAGCAGTTTTTAAGCAGTCTGTAAGCAGTTTTAAGGAATGCTAAGACTAAGACTGTTAAGAACTGCCTAAAAACTGCCAAAAAATTGCCAGACTGCCTAATAACTGTTTATAAACTGCTAAAATAAGCAGTTCATTTTGACTTGGGTTTGTATACCTAAAATTTTATAACGTTAACTAACATTATAACAAATTAACATCAACTTCTTCAGCTCATTGGAGGTTTTCGGATCACTGTCTGTCTGTCTGTCCATTCATCCGTAAATTTCTCACATTTTCAACTTCTTTTCAAGAACCAACGGGCCAGATTTAAAGAAAATTCAGTAAGACAACAGATTTTCCCAAATTAATTACCTGATCATGACAAGCACCCAGCGGGTGTGATTGGTCAGCAGGGGATGCTTACTCCTGCATCCTCCATGACACCTGCTCCCACCTCTGATGTTTCAGAGGTCTGTGTTTGGTATGCTTTTAATTTGTGTTGTTCTGAGATTAATTACTGTTCGTTATCTCCATTTCCTTGATTCCCTTACTAATGCAGCAATATACCTTCATCACCTGCATACGGAGGATATACAGTAGAGATCCGCTATTACGGTGACAGTTTTATACGATAGAACGCTTATTACGTTGTAAATTCAAAGCACAAATCCATTTCTTAACAAATCTATACAAATGAACTGTTTATTACATTGTCCAAAATCACCAGGTCTCAGTAATACGATGTAAAAATTCTGTCAAAAATTTTTTCACTCGTGTTTATTCAGTGTTGATTGCTGGTAAGACACTTAAGGAGACGCTAAAAATAAACATTGGAACACCTGTGCTCAGAGAGAGTGTTAACTAACAGGGCAGTGAGGTGATTAGTACGCTTGATTGCACCCACCTGGACTGTTCCAGCGAGCCCAGCAGATTTGGAGACATGCCAAAGCCATTGTTAAACAATTAAAGTTTACTCATAAACCTAGCTTCTTCTTTATCTATCGCTGTGATTTTTTTAAAAAATTCTTTTATTCTTTATTTCATACTTAGTTTAATATATTAATTTAATAAATAAAAGGTTATATTTAATCTTGTGCATGTATGCTGTACACAGGTAGTCAGGTACACATAATGTGTAATTTCGTTTGCAAATAAACTACGTAAATAAACAGCTTGGGTATCAAACATAATTTGGACAAATTTTGAACTCCACAACAAACGTTTTAACAGCTTGGGTAGTGGCTTGGACTACCTCTCAGTTGTCAGCAGAAAAACAAATCCATAATTGCTGAACTGCTAATTGACCTCTGTTCAGTAATTAAAAAAAATTATTTTGACAGATTGCTTGTCTATTTACTTTGACCTTTTTATTTGAATAAAAAAAAAAGTTGTGGTTTATTTAGAAATGACTTTTAATTGAATACAAAGAGAATAAAATAATCGGAATTTTGGTAGTTGTTTATATAGAAATGACTATGACTACGAAGACATTGAAATTTTCACGAACGCATTATCTGGACAGAAACGAAAGTGAAAGTACATGTTACAGAAAATGGCGGCAATTAAAGGAAGATTGTCGAAGTTTCTATCAAAAAATTGCTCTATGCTTCTACTATAATAAAAAAAAGAAATAGCATCATGAAAATAAGTTTTAAAGATAAGTAATCAATGAATTAAGTGTATATGGCATATTGGAGAAGAATTTGAGCATACAAGAACACATTTTCCAAACGATGTTTTACAGGATTTTATTGGGAACTTTTATTACGTTGCCCTCAGTATTACGATATTTTACCGTGACAAAGTGAACATCGTAATAACGGGTCTCTACTGTATATCTCAGTTGATTCGATACACAAGAGCATGCTCTACATATGAACAATTTCTTAAACAAGGTAAATTATTGACAAGCAAGGTGAAGAAACAAGAATATCACAGCAGTCTAGTTTAAAATCATCATTTTTAAAGTTCTATGGTTGATACAATGACCTTTTCAGCAAATACAATTTATCATTGAGTCAAATGCTGACTGACATTTTTCATACCAATAGTTAGTCCATTATTTATACACTAAATTGATGACGCATTTTTTCCCCCTGTTTTTTCCTTATCATGACAACGAGCACACAGCGAGTGTGACCGGTTGGCAGGGGATGCTCACTCCTCCATGGCACCTGATCTCACTTCTGATGTTTCGGAGGTCTGTGTTTGCTCTGGTCTTATTTTGTTTAATCGACTTTGAGATTGAATACTGTCTGTTAACTCCATACAAGTCATTGCTATGTGAAGGTCATTCTAAATTATAAAATTGAAAAGCCAAGCATTGATCCTTCCAAAGAGAGATAAAGAAAATACAAAGATAGGGTGTGTTGATTTAAAAAATCTTCTCACAAACATCAAACACAGGAAAGCTGAAACTAATGTGTATAAGCATCCTTGGCTACTGTAGATTCTAAATTGTTTAAATCAGGGCCCTTGAAGATAGAGTAGCACCAAATTAGGAAATGAAACTTTCACATTCAAATATATATGATAGGGAACATCTTTAAGCATTTCCTCCAGAAAAACAACTGGACCAGTTAAACTGAAATTCTTTTCTTTTGAAAACTCCCAGAGGTATTCTATATTTTAAATCATTCAAATAATGACCCCGAGGATTTGGGTAAGTCATAATATTAAGTGCAAGCTTATTATCGTTCAAATCATGGACAAGGGTGAAAAACACCTCATCTTCCTTACAATTAGCTTGCACATTAACATGTAATGAAAATTATTTCTTGTAGAGATCACAATTCTATCTTGATAAAGGATTTATTCCTTATTGTGGATGATAGAGACATGGATCGGATCTTTCCCAGTGGGGAATTCACAGACAACAGAGTGATCAAAGGAGAAAGAAAAGGCAATAAGCTTGTGTCACTGTAAGTTTTAACTTTAACTTTTAAGAAAACTTATTTTGTCAGACTCTTTCACTTTATCACTATCTGTTTTTTTATTTACATTCAGCTATGACAAAACTTTCCTGATTATCATATACCTGGTAAAAGATGTTAGAGTGTATCATTACTTAAGCCAAATTAAAAAAGTTTGTTTAGAATTGTTCAGGGAAATGTCAATAATTAGTTTTTCAAAAAAAAAAAATTATTTCCTCCTCCTTCAGAACTTTTTCATTCTGATGTTCATAACTAACCTAAAATTTAAAAAAAGCTGGCCTTACAATGAAGAAAGGTGCCTCTTTCAAAATGAATAATTTCAGGACCCTTATTTATGACCTTGACCTTTGACCTTTTGGGCAGGTGTCCATAGGGAGGGCTAAATTTCATTGCAAAAGCTCAAAGGGTTCTCTACAGACAGACAGAAAGACGGACGGACGGACAGACGGACGGACGGACAAACCCAAATTAATATCCCCCACTTTTCAAGCGGGGGACAAAAAAGCTGGCCTTACAATGAAGAAAGGTGCCTCTTTCAAAATGGAAGCTTTATTGTACATTTCATAACACCAAGCATCAGATATAACACACAATTGACAATCGAAGTTTCAATCAGGAATTAATACAAAAAAGCTTTAAAGAACACCAAAACATTCTCAGGTAATATATACGGTAGGTTAAAGTTAGTTCAAATCATGACCCAATAGGATAGGAAGGGGTCACAATAAGTGATCAAACTTTTATAAGTATGAATTTTATTTTAATTTTCAACAATTTTAACATTGCTCATTTCTAATCAAAGATTTCATATTTGCATTACCTGTTTAAAAATATATATACTAATATATACAAATTTACCTCTGCTATTTTGACCGGATGACCTTTACCTCTAGCTTGAACCTAATTTTTAGCTCACCTGAGCCGAATTCTCAAATGAGCTTTATTAGCTAAATTTGTCCGTCATCTGTCGTTGTTGTTGGCATTGTCGTTGTCATTGTAAACTCGTCACATTTTCATCTTCCTCTCAAGAACCACTGAACCAATTTCAATCAAACTTGTCACATAGTATCCTTGGGTGAAGGGGATTTAAGTTTATTCAAATGAAAGGCCATGCCCTTTTCCAAGGGGAGATAATTATGAATTGGAGAAAATTTAATGGTATTTTTAAAAAAATCTTTTTCTCAAGAACCACTGGGCCAGGAAATATGAAACTCGGGAAATATGAAACTCGTGTGGAATCATCTTCAGGAAGTGTAGATTCAAGTTTGCCCAAATCATGACCCCCTGGGGTAGGGTGGGGCAAAAATGGCTGATCAAAGTTTTACATAGGAATATAAAGGGAAAATCTTTGAAAATCTTCTTCTCAAGATTTAAGCACTAGACAGGGAAAGATGAAGCTCATGTGGAATCATCCTCAGGTAGTGTAAATTCAAGTTTGTTCAAATCATGAACCCCAGGGCTACGGTGTGACTTAAATGTCCGACCCAAACTTTACATAGGAATATATAGGAAAAATCTTTTAAAATCTTCTTCTCAAGAACCATGCACTAGGCCAGGAAAGATGAAACGCATGTAGAATCATCCTCAGTAGTGTAGATTCTAGTTTGTTCAAATCATGAACCCCTGGGTGGTGGTGGGTTAAAATTCAAGCCCCCCCCCCCTTCAAACTCAGTAAACTTTCAGTTCTGATCCAATATCTGCTTTTTCCTAGCCGATGTGCTCAGGTGAGTGCTGTGGCCCCTGGGCCTCTTGTTTTTAACTTTCATCGTTTATAAACATTGGTTACAGCTCTTTCAATAACAGGAGATAAGGCTTTCATATCTTACATAATATACATCATGTATATTACCTTTGACAACTTTCAGAGGGGTATATCATATTTTACATCATGACATCCATCTAGTAGTTTGAAGGACACACAAAATTGATGGTTACAGTATGGCATCTATCTCAACCATAGGGAAAACCACAATTCTTTGATGTTTCTTATCACGTTACATGTGCACTAAATGCATTTAATTTATGATATAAATGATACACAATGATCCATATAATATGCTAGACTAAATAAGATGTATACTTTTCAGCACAACTGTGACCGAAGAGTGAAAGAGCACAACTGTGACCGAAGAGTGAAAGAGCGACAGAGACTTCTAGTTTCCTTAAGCAGGAGACAAAAATTTCCTGATTTAACTTGTATGAATATGTGTATCATTCTGACAGGAAGATGTCCTTCATCAAGCATTGATGTTTCAAGATATTTTTAGTTTGTTTACTATGTTAAAAAACAAAAATGTTTTATTTTAATTCTTAGCTCACCTCAAGGAAATTAGGGGAGCTTATGTAATACTGTCATCATCCTGGGTTAAGGTAAAGTTTATTAAAGCAGTTTTCTGTTGAAGTACTTTTAAGTCCTATATTGATCAGACATCCATGAAAGATCTTTCTCATTTACGACTAACTATAAGCAGTAATTTAACCAAATTTGCATGGATGATCCATCTAAGGATGCATACTACCAGACTTGCTTCAGATGCTGCATCTGACCTGCATTTTCTGCTTGTGTGAACAGGTTATAGTTCTTGGTTCTGTCTTCATTTCATTCAAAGATACTTAATGAGCCCTATGACCAAACTTGCATGGATGAAACATCTGACGATAAATACTACCATACTTGCTTTGGATGCTGAATCTCACCTACATTTTCCGGTTGAGTGAACAGGTTAACGTTTTTGGTACAGGTTTCATTTCAAAGTAAGTTTGAGCAACTTAATAACCAAACTTGCATGGATGATGCATCTATTAAGGATGCATTCTACCAGGCTGGCTTTAGATGCTGAATCTGACTTACATTTTCTTGATTTGTGAAAAGGTTATTTTTTATACATTTAAATTTTCAAGTAAGTTTGAGTTTTATGTTGAGCAAACTTGCATCTATGAAACAGCTTAGGATGAACATTTATGGACTTCCTTCAGATGATAAATTTGACATACATTTTCCAGATAATGGACCTTGTAAAAGTTTTGGATGAAGGTCTATTACCAAGAAACTATAAGGCATATATAAACCAAACTTGCACAAATGATGCATCAAGGGATTAAAACTCTCAAACTTGCCTCAGATGCTGGATTTTTATTACATTTTCAAGATGAAGAATTACTTTTAAGTTTTTAAATAGGTCTATACCAAAGTATCAAATCAAAATCGCATACATTTTGTATTTTTGGATGTACACCTTTTTGTTGGTTTATTGTATGACTTTGCCTTACTTAAGGACAACATTCAATGTGGTGAGCTCTGTCATCTTGGATTACCTATGTTTGAACAACTGGTAAATAGGCTAAAAAGCATATTATTGAACAACTTATGAATAGGCTAAAAGTATTTTCAATCTGGGGCCCATTTCAAAAGTCTACTATATTTTGCTGTCCATCATACTCATCATTTTATTTTCTTTTAAAATTGTTTCATCATAACCCAGTATATTCAATATCTCTTGTACTTTTTTTTACAGACATTACACTGTTTAAAAAGAAATTCATATATTTTTTTGGTTGTTATTTTTCTTTAATTGTTAATTACACAACATCCAAACCTTGCATATTGTTTGCTCATTGCTAGATTTTATGTATTCCTTCCAATATGGGCCAAAAAAAATGTTTTTTCAATATTTCCTAAAACTATACTCAAATGTGTACAAAATGCATACTAATTTTTTTATCATTGACAACATCTTCAATAAACGTCAAAAGCTATCAAATATGTTGTCTTTAATGCAAAATAAATGAGCACAAGTAAGATCATCTTTATCCTTGCCCTCTTCTGACTAGGGGTAAAAAAAATGATTGGTAGGTAACTGGGATTTCTTTTCTCAAGATGCATGATGAGAAAATTATGGGGAAAATATCTTGATTCAAGAAGATACAAAAAGACTTGGATTACTTTTAGCTCACCTGAGCTGAAAGCTAAAGTGAGCTTTTCTGATCACCAATTGTCCATCTGTTAACTTTTCACATTTTCAAAATCTCAAGAACTACTGAGCAGCCAATTTTAACCAAACTTAGTACAAAGCATCCTTTGGTGAAGGAGAAATTTAATTTTGAAAATTAAAGGCCAGGTTTCCTTCCAAAGTGAGATAATCAAGAAAATACAAAAATAGGATAAGGTCATTAAAAATTCCTCTCAAAAACCTCCTTGCCAGAAAACCCGAACCTTGCATAGAAGCATCCTTAGAAAGTGTAAATTGTGAAGATCATTACCCCTGAAGGTAGGTGGGGGCCACAATAGGGAATCCAAGTTTTACATAGAAATATTTAGGAAAAATCTTTTCAAGAACCAGTGGGCCAGAAAAGCTGAAATTAACGTATGTGGAAGCATCCTGGGGTAGTGTAGATGCTAATTCCTCATAGGCGTAGTCAAAGGGGGGACAGCACGGTCACTAGCCCCCCCCCTTTTAGATCGGGGGGGGGGGATTGTCTGTGCCCCCCCCCCACTTTATGCAGAACAGAATCAGAGCTGTGTTGAATCACCAGGGGCTAACCTCCCTTCCCCACCACCATTTAACCCCCCAGATATATAACTAGTACAGACATTGAACATTGCTTCGTAGTTCTAGCCCCTCTTTTTTCCCCTACACAGGCACGTGGCAAAAGAAATATCGGTACTATGATAGGATTTCCTTGTTTGGAAGTGAACATTTCTTCCTTTTTTGGAGGGATAGAGGGGGGGGGGGCTTCTCAAAGAATATCTAGAGTTGAGCCCCCACTTTTAAGTTTGTGAATACACCTCAGTCTCTTAAAATCATGACCACGAAGGGTAGGGAGGGGCACATTAGGGAGTCATTGTTATTTTTATAGAAATATATTGGAAAAATCTTCTTTTCAAGCACCAGTGGGCAAGGAAAGCTGAGACTTAGAAGAAAGCATGCTGCTGAGACTTAGAAGAAATTCTAACTCATTAAAATAAAGATGGGGCTTTGGAAGGGTAGAGGGGCACAATATATGCAAGTAGGAGGTAAATCTGGTAAAGAACTGCATCACCAGTTACTCATGGGCGTCTTGGAACTATTCAGTTAGAAGAAGGCAACCTGAGTCGAAGCCATAAGTCATTTTTTCACATGGAAATTTGTCTGTTAACGCCATAATTGTCATCAACGTTTTGATCACATAGAAAAATCGGACGGAAGACCTACTCGTTGCTCGCAACGAGTTCTCTTCTAGTATTCTTACTATTTTCGTATTGACCAACTTTTGGAAATGACCTTTGTCCGGTCCATTTCTCCAGAACAGCATAAGATATGAAAGTTTACTGTGTCAGATATCTTGGACTTGAAGATGTGTCGAACAACAGGGGAAAACCCATTGTGCAATACCCAAGTGTGCAGGTAAAGTCTTTGACGCCGCGATGGCGAAAGGACCGGTAGAAAAACTTCCATGGTTCAATTGAGACGAGATTATAGTAAATAAAGTGTGTATACTATATATATCATATGTGTTCATCTTATTCCCCCCCCCCCCCCCCATTTCTTTTTTGTGAACTGTAAAAGACCTATCTCCC